AGCCAAACAACAATGACAACTACAACCAAAAAAAAAAAATAGCTGTGTGTTGTAGCAGGCGCCTGTAGTCCCAGCTACTTGGGAGCCTGAGGCAAGAGAATTGCTTAAGCTCAAGAGTTTGAGGTTGCCGTGAGCTGTGATTTCACAGTACTCTACCCAGGGCAACAGCTTGAGACTCTGTCTCAAAAAAATAAATAAATAAAAATAAAGAGACAGGTCTCCCCTTCCCCCATGCCTATCTCTTGGGGGAAGGGGAGACCAGACAGAGAAGGAGGGAGGGGGTGTGGGTAAGGAAAAAAAAAAGAAAATAGTGACTAATTCTCATATAAACTGTATTTAATTTTGACCAAAGTACATTAAACATTAATTTTTAATTCAACATGTTAATATGTTTATCATATTGCATCCTCATTTATAAGTGAAATATGTTTGTAATTTCCCCTTTGTAATAATATATTTTCTCCGATTTTAATATCAGGTGTATCCAAATTAAGTAGAATGATTTTGAAGTATTTTTTCCTATTGTCTATAAGATTCGGCATGATCTGTTTTTTCTGAAATTATCTTTTGCTTTTATTTATAAATATTAGTTGTCTTTTTTTTGAGACTTTGGAAAAAACAAGTAGTTAACTTATTATTCTATAATAGACATACTCCTAACAATGTGAATGTTACTTTCTTTGCATTATTATTATTGCTTAATATTCCATTGCAGCAATCGTCTGATTTCTTTCCTGAATGTATTTATCTTCATTCGTTCTTTATGAGGTTTTTGTTCTGTCCTTATGTTAAACGTTGTTATTGTCATTAAATGTAGCCTTTTTAATTCTGTGAAGGCAAAAGTGGAAACCTAATATACACACGTATAAGAAAAATAAATAGGCTCGGCATCTGTGGCTCAAGTGGCTAAGGCGCCAGCCACGTACACCTAAGCTGGTGGGTTCGAATCCAGCCCGGACCCGCCAAAACAACAATGACGGCTGCAACCAAAAAATAGCCAGGCATTGTGGCAGGCATCTGTGGTCCCAACTACTTGGGAGGCTGAGGCAGGGGACCCGCTTGAGCCCAGGAGTTGGAGGTTGCTGTGAGCTGTAATGCCACGGCACTCTACCCAGGGGGACAGCTTGAGGCTCTGTCTAAAAAAAAAAAAGAAAGAAAGAAAAATAAATAAAAGAAAAAGAAAAAAAATAAAGAAACAAACCTCACATCTCCCAGGTTCAAATATCCTAAAGGATCTTCAAGGCGAGTTGAGTCAGGTGCCCCAGGTGGGGCTGAATGTCCCTATCAGCAGGTGGGGGCCTGGGGTAAGTGTCTCAGAATCACGTGGGTGGAGGGGAATGGAGACAGCTCATGGAAGAAGGCATGGTAAGAGCAGCCGGTAAGAGCAGAGGGTGCTACAACAGTCTCCTGACATCCACTCAGAGAAGGCTAATCCCCTTTTTAAATTCTATATCCCATGCTTTTCCCCTTGGTAACGTATTAAGCCCTTACTAAATTTCAGGGATTGCTCTATGAACTTGGACAAGCCAGAATAGGTTAAATTAGTAACAAACCCAAGATCTGTGGCAAGGAGTCATTTTCCACTTTTGCACACTTGTTGCCAAGCAGCTGGGTCTCTGGAGTTTGTCCTCACTCCAGGGCCAGGCTAATGGATCAGCCCCTCTCAGGCATAATCATCACCATGGCAGAAAGAGGGGCTCTGAAGGTCTCACACCAGCCAAGCTTCCTGCCTGAAAGTCTGGCATAGCACCTGTGCTCAAAGCTCCTTGGCCACAATTAGTCACGTGGAAAATGAATGCCTACCTACCATGTGCCTGGCAGGGGGAGAGCCTGAATATTTGGTGAACACCTACCAGTCCAGCACATTACAATCTTCACAACCACAGGACATACTGCTACTATCCCTACATTAAAGATATGGAAACTGGGCGGTGCCTGTGACTCAAAGGAGTAGGGCACCGGCCCCATATACCGGAGGTGGCAGGTTCAAAGTTGGCCCCGCCAAAAACTGCAAAAAAAAAAAAAAGATATGGAAACTCATGCACAGAAGCCCAAGGTCACAGCTAGCAACTAGCACAGCCATCTTAACCATGTTGTTTTTTACTGCGGCCCTTGGCTTATTTTCTGTGTGGTCTTCAGCATTTCCATTGCCCATTAGATTGCTGAAAACATGAAAATGGGGGAACCTGGGTGTCTGGACAGCGACCTTGAATCAGAACCTGCCTATGCCTCATTCTTCATCCCAGACTCCTGAGACTGCTTTTAGAATTGATAGAATTCTTGGGGCTCAGAGACACTAGACAGGATTATACTTTAGAAAGCATGCTTCCCCACAGCTGTGACTATCAGAGCCTGGTTTAACACATGGTGACATCCCCTTTGAGAAGCTGGATGCTGCAGATACGCAGATGAATCCAACTCTTGCTATGGCAAACTCAGTCTAGCAGGGACTAACAGGCTCTGCACGTTTGTGCACCCCACTTGCCCAAGTGCCTGGCACAGAGGACACCCAATACACACCGGGAAAGACTAGGAGGGTGCATGACCAAGTATGCAGCCAGAAGAGTAAGTAGGCTGTGGCTTAGAACACTTAAATCCCAAATTAACCACTTCCTAGCCTATTGAACAAATTGTTTTACAGCTTTGAGCCTCACTTTTTTCACCTGAAAAACCAGAGTTGACAATAGTACCTGGAATGAGGAATTGTTAAGATTAAATGAGATGTGTAATGCTCTTAGCTCCCTGTCTGGCATAAACATTTAACATGCACTAGAAGCCATTTTTAGTCTCAAGTCATTTTCAGGTGAGACATTTACATGTTCCTTCCCAAAGGGTAAGATTTGCAGTGAAAGGACATTTTAAGGCTTTCCACGTGGAGGAGCAAGGGCTCAGAGGTGGAGTTATGTACTAGGTCAATCTGGGATTCAGGATTGGCAAGTGTTTTGGGAACAGTGAATTAGACCAAAGTGCCAAATGGGATTCAAGTTTAGTCTCTCAGAACTTAATTTCTCCCAGGCACTCAACCTCTATGTTAGCTCACACCGAAAGTCCTTGGCAGTGGTGACAAATTTCTCTCAACCTCTGATCCAACTATGTAATCTCGCCAGAAAAAACACTTAACTGTGTTTTAAGTTTTTACAGTTTTCTTTCAAAAGGGGCATTGTATTCCTGGCACTTAACAGTAGATCCAAGGCTGAGAACTAGTAGATCCTTGCCCCCCTACCTAGTGAATGAACTAGTCTCTGAGTGAAGTCATTCTACCAGTAATGTCTCTGTGGTCTAATACCAGGCCACACTAGCCCCAGATCATGTTAAACCTATTTACAGATCTCAGAAACATGGGCTAAAGCCATCTTCCTTGCTAGCATGTTACTAAACGCTAGCCCAATCACCCACTTTTTCCCTAGCCAGATTTTTTCCCTACTCCTGACCACTTCAAAGAGCATAGGATCCCCACAAAATGGTGATCGCATATGGAGCCATTTCATGTCCTATTTTTGCAGACTGTGCTCAGAAATTCATTTTTTATTCAATCAACATGTTTTGAGACAGCTCTCTGCCAGGAACCAGAGATAGGAAAGGAAACAAAAGCAAACACAGGCCCTGTCATCCTAGAGCTTACAATTTTGGCACTGAGTATGAGCTGCTTGGCAGGGCACTGGTGGCTCACACCTGTAGTCCCAACTACTCAGGAGGCTGAGGCAAGATCACTTACGTCCAAGAGTTTGAGGCTGCTGTGAGCTGTGATGCCACAGTATTCTACCAAGGATGACATAGTGACTGTCTCAAAAAATAAAAATAAGCCCCTTAAAGATTCTTCTGGACTTCACGTCTGTGCCTAACAAATACAACTTCTTAATACCACAATGGTCTTGTGTTCAGTGTGTTATCTTACATGCTTACTTTTCCCAATGCTGAGGTAGGTTTTGCATTATTCCCATTTACTCAGAAGGAAATTGAGTCTACCAAGTGGAGAAACAGATCTCAATTCTGGTCTGTCAGAGCCCAACAAAACCATGTTCATTACTCAGAGCTACCCAGGTAATCAGAGGCCCCCAAATTCAAACAGGCCTCTCAAATCACTTTCTTCCAAAAAATGAGAATTGATATTTGCCACATCTATAGGGCATTCCTAGCTATCTACCATGCCCCAGTCCAGAGGTCAATTCTCTCTTCAACACTGCCTGGCTAGCCAGCGCAGACCAGAGACTGGAGGACACATCCCTATCTCATCAGCTCCCTCCCCTCCAGGAGGAACCTGTCAGCAGCACCAGACCCTCTTCAAACAATTCCTAGCAAATGTCTATTACAACAATGGGATATAAAAATTGAGCAGGAACTAATATCCTACCTTCCAGAATGATTATAGCCCAACAAAATAAATACACCAAAAGTTAAGTGTCAAATAACTGGTTTTGTTGGAGAGCAGGCTAATTGTTTTCTTATGCATATATTACTTTTTTTCCCGTCTCACTTTGTCGCACTTGCCCTGGGTAGAGTGCTGTGGCCTCACAGCAACCTCAAACTCTTGGGCTTAAGTGATTCTCTTGCCTCAGCCTCCCTAATAGCTGGGACTCCAGGCACCCGCCACAGTGCCCAGCTGTTTTGTCGTTGCAATTGTTGTCGTTTAGCTGACCTAGGCTGGTTTCAAACCTGCCAGCCTTGGTGCACGTGGCCGATGCTGTAACCACTATGCTACGGACACCGAGCCATGCATTTATTCCTTTCACAAGAACTTTTACTGTTTACAAAATACATCCCTCAGGCTTCTCCTCTGGAAAGTAATCACACAAGTTCCCCAAACCTGAAGACCAACTCAAGACTCAACGGCCTAGGACCAGATATGCCAATCTCTGGTGAGTCAGGAGGGTGAAGACTAGATACCGCAAAGCCGTCTTGTCTTGTTCACTTCCTGGAACAGCATTCACCGATTAATACAATGGCTGTGCATCCCCAGATCCTCTTGTTACACTGCTGTAAAGGCTCAAAACGACCAAGTAGAAGCACCAGAGTCCACTGAGGCATTTTATTTTTCAGTATGGATTACATCCCTAGAAAAAGAATCCCAGGATTTTCCCTCCTGTGTGTTTTCTTCTTGCTTCTTCGTGGTCCATGATGCCAGCTGAAGTTGTCAGTACAATGAAACTATGGATTGGAAAAGAAAAATGCCGGTGAGTTTAACAGTTCAACACAGAGCTGCTTTCTGGTATAGAAAAACACCAATACCACCCAGCAGTGGTTAAAGGATGCTCCTGTAAGGCACACAGGAATTAATGCTGCCTACCAAGGCAGTGACTACCTGTGCTGACAGGGTACAATGTGGCTCCTTGAACCAAAGCCCAGAGACCCCAGCTACATACACCCATACACCTGGCCTCGACTAACACTGGGAAGCAATTATACTTAATTGAAAACAAAGGCTATTTTAACTTTAACTTCAAAAAGGAACAGGAAGTTTAAAGCATTAAAGTATTCAGACAAATCTGAGTCTAAACTGTTTCTGCCACTCATGTATGTACAACAGATAAGCTACTGTACAGTGAGACATTCAGGTACTGTATACAACATCTGGCCACCTCATGGGTTCCTAAGAGGGTCAAGATAATGAGCATAAAGTAGAAGTCAAGTATGAAGCATTAAAATCACCATCTCACTGGCGGGATAGCTTATGCCTATAATCTCAACACCGGAGGATGCCCAGACAGGAGGATCACTTGAAGCCAGGAGTTGAGACCAGGTCTCTACAAAATATCCTGACATAGTGTCATGTGGCTACAGTCCCAGCTACATTGGAGGCTGAGGAGTGAGGATGATAACATAAGCCCAGGAATCTTGGGTTTTACAGTAAGCTAAGATCACACTACTGCATTCCAGCCCAAGTGACATAGCCAAGATTGTCTCTTTACAAAAAATTAAAAGGGCTGGGCACAGTGCCTCCAGCCTATAACCCTAGCACTGAGAGATGAAGGCGAGTGGATAGACTGAGCTCTGGAGTCCAAAGCCAGCCTGACCAGGTGTTAGACCCTGTCTCTACTAAAAATAGAAAAAATTAAGCAGGTATTATGACAGGTACTGTAGTCCCAGCTACTCAGGAGGCTCAGGCAAGAGAATCACTTGAGCGCAACAGAATGAAGTTGCTGTGAGATATGATACCACAACCTTCTACCAAGGGCAATAGAAACTCTCCAAGAAAAAAAAAAAAAAAAAAAGGACAAAGATTTGAATTTAGGCTCTTCAGGAAGATAAAGATTCTCAAACTGAGGTCCCCCCTCCCACAAAGGTGTAGGGTTCTGAAGTGATTCTGGCCAGAATCCTGGATCCCAGGGAACACATAATATGAACTATATACAGTGAGGCAGGAGAACGCACATGAATTCTACGGTCCTAAGCTCTCATGTGCCTCCTAAACTTGAAGATCAGCACATGAAACGTGACAGGTGGAGCCAGTGGTGCAGAGACCAAACTGGGAGGATTAACTGAGCCCAGGAGTTTGAGACCAGTGTGCTGTGATTATGCCTGCAATCAGCCCTTGCACTCCAGCCCAGGAGTGCAACATAGGAAAACCTCATCTCTTAAAAAAAAAAAAAAATTAAAAGGAAAAATAAAGCAATGTAGCAAACAAAAGGTAACTTCTTTAAATTGAGGAAAGCCAACTCACCCAAACTGGCGGGATGGGAGCAGATTATTCTGCCATTTTTCTAAATCTTTGAGTTGCACATCAAACCTTGGGCTGATCACTCCGCACTGTGAAAAAGGAACGAAGAATTGTTCAAACTTTACCAATAACAAAACCTGAGTAACACAAGATGGCATTCATAACTGAATAGTCACACAAACCAACAACTCAGCATTTAAATTGGCACCTATTCTGTAGACCATCTTTGATATAAATACTATTCAAAAAAATATACCAAAGTATTTAAGACTGTCTGCATCTAAGGCCAACCACCTGCAGAAGTGGACTCCAAAGCAATAGGCGTTCTAGGTCAATATGCACTCCTGTGGGCTCGAAAAGCTGTTCCAGAACAAATGACCACATTTGAAAAACCTAAGAGACCAACTAGATAGGAAGATTACAGTCAAACCTTTTTTATATAGTAAGGCTGAAATAAATAGCAATGTTTCAAATACTTAAGCCCATAAACTAAAAACTGCCAAGTATTAAATGTCTAAGGAACACACTGCACAGGCACTGAGCTAAGAACTGCTGCTCCCACCACTGAGATGCTATTATGCACTTTGAGGGATAGTAAGTACCCTGCAACCCCTGGCAATCTTTCCAACTAACCTGGCAGAGTGACGGAAGGCAGAAAGAGCAGAGTTCTTACGTTTACCTCATCTTTTTGCTACTGGGACACAGCCAACAACTACCCTCCAAAATGAGAGGGTAGTGCTCCAAAAGCACAATAACTTAATTATATGCCAATCTTAAAACATAATAAATTCATGAACATCCATGAACTTAAGCTCTCCTGCTCACAAGATCTGCTCTACAAATGACTGATATACTTAGAAACATCACTGTGGAAAGGCTCCCACTATATAAATACAAGAATTGACCATGTGATAACAATGCAATCAGTACTCTCAAGGTGAAACTCCAGAAGGCCAAGACAGCAGGCAAAGAGTTGTGTAGTTGTGAGCACATTAACCAAACATCACAGGATGCCAAGATGCTTAAACCAAAGACTCTTAAGATTAGAACTTCATAGCAGCTCTATGCTACACTTACTGAAGGAAGAAATTTGACCCACATAAACCAAAACTGGGCTTGTCAAAAAGGCTCAACTATCCTATGCCAGGAAGACTGCTCAGGTTCTCCTTTTTCTACCATTATCCCATCACTTTCGCTGTCACTTGACTAACAGACAATCCCACACCAGATGGAAGGCAGCACCTGGCCTGATTCCAGGAGCAAAATCCCTCTCATTTAGCCAGAACTAAACCTGCACAGCCTCTCTCATCCAACCCAGAGGGATCTGAATTCTAGTCCATCTGGTCTTTAAATACTACCTTACTTCCCAGCTCCATTTCCACAATAAAGGTTGGTCCATTCTTTACATGCAAAAGATAGACATTCTCTTATGAAGGTGGGTAAATAACCAGAGAAACCAAAACATTCGTTTTGCCCAAAGTCACAGTTAAGCAGTAGAGTCTGGACTTTAATGGTCTAGGCTAGAATTTTTTCAACAATTATACCACAGACTGAGTACATCACAAATAAGTTCCATACAGAAAATGCTCCATTAAAGTCTGTCAAGCTATTACATATAGGGAACAAACATCCAAGGAGAATTTGGTACACAGTACTTGTCAAACTTAGTTGTGTTTTTTTTTTTTTTTTTAAAACACCAACTCAATCTTCTGCAGGATAGGTTTAAAAAGTGCTAAACTGTTTACTGGCACCAGTTACTAACTAGATGAGACACCTTCAGCATGACTCAAACCTGACTCTTCCTACCTCCTAAAAATAGGAGAGGAAAAAAAGACAACTCTCACTTCAAAAACACACTGTGAAGGTCAGAGTGACAACAGCAAATTTAAATCCTACTTTGGGGCTGGTTTTAATGGTTAACAACTATAAGATGACCGATTCAAAATTAGCCTTACAAGTTCTTCAGATTTTTTCAGGAAGACCTCAGACCCCTTAGTTTTTACTTAAGGTTAGTTAACTCCATCCACACATGATAAGCAAGTTTATTATACAGGGAAGTTTCTTTTTAAAATACAACCTGCTGGGCCAGAAAATATCCATACCAATCCAGCAACTATCACTCGCCAATGACTTTAAGCAACTCAATCTCTGGGTCTGAGGCTAAAGGATCTTATCAGACTCTCAGGGAATCTGAAAGCTATAAACTTGAACACAGAAAGAGCGTAGCAGGCTCAGTAACTGGTCCTCAAGACACATTCAATTAGTTAAACCTCAAAAACAAAACAGATCTACTTGGTTATATTGTTAATAAGGCAAATAGCACAGATCTCAAAGACCTATGCTATCAAAAACAGAAACACTACTTATATTGTATTTAGAGGGTCCCAGTTACTCAAGGATAAAAATTTTGTTCAAAAAAACCCAGTGCTGGGTGTGGGTCTCTAAACCTAGCACTCTTGGAGGCCCAGGAGGGTGGACTGCTTGAGATCAGCCTAGGCAAGAGAAGACCGTCAACTCTATTAAAATCTGACAAACTGAGGCAAGAGGATCACTTGAGCCCAAAAACTTGAGGTTGCCATGAGCTTTGATGCCACTAACAGACGACAGACTGTCTCCTTACAAAAACAAACAAAAAAACACATCACCAAGGAAGGCAAGTTATTTATAGCGTAGTTTAGAGGCCTTGAGCTACCCAAGTTCAAGCCAATGAAGTGGGTAGTATATCCAAATACTAGTACCAGCATTAATTTAACCCCACCTCCCTTCAGATAGCTCACACCCCACAAATAATGGGCCAACTGACATAAATCTAGAGCCAGTAACCCTACAGAAGAAATGAAATTATATGTGACAAAAAAAAAAATGAACAATTTTAGCCAATCCCTCAACTTATGGCACCACTCTTCAACACTTACAAAAGCCAATGCAACACAGTATCACCAAGGTTAAACAATTCTTAAGGCTTTTAAATATGTAAAATTTATTCTTACCTTGTTTAACCTGCCTGTGAGATTCACAACAATTTTCCCAGCTCTGTGATCATCAATGATTTCAAATTCGCCAATGTAACCTACAAAACATAACTGACAGATTAAATGGAAGACCTTGTATCTTTATACTCCTAGCCTACTACATCCTTCACTCCCACATCATCCCAGTCACTGCTTCTCTAAGCAGTCTGGGTAGAGAAAACCAGGTGCTCTAAAACTAAGTCTTAAAACCCACTTTAATACATAAAATTTTGATGGGCAACATTCAAGACAATCCACCTTTCAATTCTAAAAGGAATTATCTTTCCCTTGCCCCTCCATTGCTTTCCACCCCCAAAGACTAGCTATGGCCAAGTCAGGCAACAATCTTCCTCTCCACACCAAAGTCATCCTAGAAGGTCTTAGGAGCCCTGTCAATGACTTAGTTATCATTTAGGCCCCAAACACCTACCAGGCCAACAGTCACAAACACAAGCTTCCACTTTTTCCCAATAGTTCCACCATGATTCTTTTAATGGTTTTACTTGTACAGAATTGTCGCCTCCATAGCCCCGTAAGTCAACGTCATTAGTACCCAGGTATGACTGACACACTACGCCCCTGTACCTAATTTCTACAAGACAGATCCCTTAAATAGTGTGACATCAAAACATAAAACAGCACACTTACCATGCTTCATCATCACAGTTAGAAACCGGACAATGACTTTGGAGCAAGGCCTTATAAGAACCTGGCGTTTGCCTCTCTTTTCAGCATTGTTGATGCTCTTAAGAGCATCAGCCAGGACATTCATGCGCACCATTATGGCTGTTTAGGAAAAACAAAATATATTTTACTGACAACGCAAATATCAGTAGACAACCAATCATTCCGCCACAAAACCATCCTTTTCCTTCTGCCCCCAATGTAGTGAAGTTTTCCAAACCCCAAGGAGACTGGTTCTCCAGAATTCCTGGCACACTCCACCCCCAAATCCTTGACTTACATGTACTATCTTCTACAGTTGCCAAAAACAGTCAAGACGTCAGCCCCTACATTTTGAATCCCACTCATTCACTAATCACTCTCCTACAAAGCATGGCTGGAGAGAAAATGATGTGGGACAAAACCAACTTGACACAAAAAACCTTCAGAATTGGCGGTAACTATCAGCTACCCATGTGAAAATAACGAGGTAGAGATAGTTCATTACTCAGAATGGAAACTGATAATCACCGATAACACTATCCCAATTTGAGGGAAAAATCTGTGCTGCGAACGTCGTCCTTTAAAATCAATTCATTTCCACCTACTATCAGCACACCAATTATTAAGGCATCCACCTTTTCCCACTTAAAAGTTGTGTACAATACTCAATGTACCGTGGTACCCAACAGATAAATATTTTACAAACCGCCGATGGGCATGAGACGCACACTTTAATGTACGAAAGTTTTGGGAGCGCCTACGTAGGGATCCAACCTCCTTCAAGTACAACAAGGAAATAACTTCTCAGACCGAACAGTTAATTTACTCCCTAACAAACGGCCAACCCCGAAAAGATGCAGTTTTACCTGCTGGGCGCCCTCAGCCTCCCGAGCTCCCAGAGCCGCTGCAGTACTGAGACGCTGCACGGCCCACCCGGCCACCATCCCTCATGCTTCCCGCCGCCCGGAGTCCAGGAGCGGCCTCAACCACTATGAGGAGATCCGGCACTTAGGCCCGAGCCGGGGCTAGGCGGTCGAAAGCTCTGGCGCCCGCACCCCACGAATCCGGGTCCCCACAGTGCAGAGCGTGGGGTGCCCGGGAATGGCCCGCCTTTTTATCCACCCGGCCCGGAGCCCGCAAGGCCAAGACTCCCGGCCCAGAAGGGGTCCAGCGTCCCTGCAGGACCCCAAAAACGAGCCTTAGATGGCGGGATGGCGCCGATAGCCGACGGATGATGTTGGAGCTCTCAGAAGAAGTTACTCACCGGCACGGAAAGATGGCGGAAAAAGGACGGGCGTGGAGAGCGCACGGAGTTATGGGAAGCGGGAGGGCTCTCGCGAGACTTCCATACGCAAGCCAGAGAAGAGACCTCCAAAGAGGCGGGGACAAAGGAATTGGTAGTTGAGAGTCGATGGAATCGACCTCACCAGGTGAGGCCGGGGAGAGGTTAGAGATTACTTTTTAGTACTTAATCTGTGAAAATAAAACACCAACAACAGGGTCTAGAATTCAGGGGCCCTCAAACTTTTTAAACAGGGGGCCAGTTCACTGTCCCTCAGACCATTGGAGGGTCGGACTGCGGGCCCGTGGACAAGTCGGCTGCTAAGCAGGACAGGCAGTGGCGGCAAAAACACCCAGCGGGCCGGATAAATGTCCTAGGCGGGCTGCGTGTAGCCCGCGGGCCATAGTTTGAGGACGCCTGGTAGATATTTGCTAATTTTTATTGCAGTAACAGTTCGCCATACATTTCGATGTGAGTGCATTTACAATATCTTTGGGAAGACCCACAGGAAGTTAGTTATTGCTTCTGGAAAGGGTAATAGGAATTGGGGTGCAAACCTTGCTTTTTTCATACAAAATTTTCTTTTCTGAGATGTCCGCATTACTTTTTTGAAGCAGTCAAAAATATATTTTTTTAAGCAGAGGGTCCTTTTTGACTCGCCTTAAATTTTAGGAATAGCCTGTAATCCTAGCTCTCTGGGAGGC